GTTGTTTAATAACCGGCAATTAGTGACTCGATATTAGTACGCCTGTTTTGGCTTTTATCATAATCCATTCGTAAATTAATTCACGTTCCCGCCGAGACCTCCATTTTGCGCGACGCTTCTTATCCGCTTCTGCTAACTGATAGATTAATCTTTCGCTCGATTTAGGTCATCCCATCATTAATGTTTTTTCATTTAATCATTACATATTCTGTAATACTATGGTGTATGATTTTATCGATTTATTTTAAGCCACGACGCAAGAACTATTTCCAAAATTTGATACGATATTCACTTCCTTATTTCATAGTTAAACGTGATGTATTCGTACAAATTTGAGGTATTTCATTGATAATGAATAATAATTAATTGGTATATTTTTTTATATTTAATTTTGTGATAATTTTCTAACCATTTTTCATCTAATAATTCTTAATTCTTTTTCATTAAAGAATAGGAAAATAAAAATATTTTATTTCCCCCAATGTTTTCCAATATAATCTCGATTTAATTTCTTCCTACTCAATTTGTTATAAAAAAAAGTATTATACTTCCATATTTTTATATTTAGTTTATACATTTATATTTTCATTCTTGAAATATTGCCTTTTAAAATTCTGTAGACAAACTTTGCTTATTAACATAATTTTCTTAAAAATATAAGACGTATCTATATCCATTTTCTCTTTTTCTAATAAATACGTAAATAAATTAACGGATAAATTACAATTCTTTGTAAAGTGTAGCATATTTTTAAGAAGCACAGAGCTAATGACAATATTAAATTAAAAAGTATACTTATCGCGTGATTAAAGATGGTTCATGAGGACTTCTAGGCGATTCTAATTATCTGGAACGAATTTACGTATAATACGATATTCTGCGCAATTGTCGTCAATCGTGCATCGGTCATTCGATTATTCGCAGTACGAAAATCAAGCCTTTATACGCGACAGTAGAATGTTAATTTATGAACGGACCGAGGATATAATTAAAGGCAACGTTCCGTATCAGCATACCGGCTGATTGAGGCATGGATATTCAAGTGTAATTAGCTATATCGGTGATTTCGCGTAATTGCGACCACAGATCAAAATCGACAGTCGCTAGTCAGAAAGCTAGAGATATCGAGACTTACGGAACGTGTAACTCAGAATACTGCTTTGACCACCGTGTATTCGTTCGTTCTGTTCGGTCGACAAAATAATGTTGATTAATTTACGAGAATTCGAGAATAGCAGACTATTATACCATCTCGTTAAATTTGACTCCATTGTCAATTGTTTCAGAGCATATTGGGGTATAATAATTAATTTTGTTTCACTTTATATTGTCAGTCGGAAATTTGGGATCACTATTGAAACCGATATTAAATTCCATATTAATTTAAAATAAATACCAATTTCCTCTATGTCAACAAACTTTTTACTCAAGAATTTTCCAGTACAAGTTTTAGAAAAATTGTGCCTCTTGTTTAAGTCTGGAGACTAAATAATTTCCTTGTATTTTTCGTCAAATTTCTCATCACGTTACTTTCACGTGTACAAACGACTGGTTCGCAAAGAAAAGAAAAAAGAAAAACTGTCAAATTGGTTACAATAAAGATGGCCAAATACCAGACGGGGATGAACAAGCCTATAAAGCAGCTCACGACGCAGCCCACGTTGTTTCGTCTTTTAATCGCTTCCCTGGATGGTCAACCAAAATGTTCCCGGTTTTTATTCACGTGGGTCGACCGATTTGCATTAAACGGCGCTGCTTTCGCGCCAATTTATCGCGCGGATATGTTTTATGCCGCTCTTCTGCTTTATGACGCGCAACCCCCGCTCCAGATGAGGCGATAAAACAACCCGCGGAAGAGGAACACTGAAGTTCCGTAACGCGACACGTTCGAGATAAAACGGCTTCTTTTTTCCCCGTCGCGAGACCACGTGCACGTTGTCGCAATTAATTTATTCGACGTCGTTCCGCGGAACGCAATTCCGCTGTTGAATCGTCGTTCGTTTGGAAGCGATAAACGGCGCCCGTGGCGCCATCTGCTTGGCCCGCGTAATGGCGAAATAGGAGATTCTTCTGTGTCTCATTTCAGCGTTATTTCGTCGGATACTCAGTTTGCCCTTGCGGCTTCGTAACGGTAATTGTGCTTCAATTTATACTCGCAATGGCAAGAATCTGAGGAATTGAAAAGATTGTTCATCCCAGGTGAAGTTACTCCGTTAGGTGATGCTACACCATTTACATATTCTTTTGCGACGAAACATAAGGGAGATCGTGTTGTTTAAATCAAATGATGTAAACCGTGCTTTGGAAACATTTTTATATGTTAAAATTCTTCTTGTACGTATCACAGATCCTCCAAAAGGGAAATCTGACAAGAGAAAAAACATTTTCTTCCTACTTATTGCCATAAATCATCTAAGGGAATACCGTTTTCTCCTCGGTAGATCAATAACATCCATGTCGTTTGTCGTCTTTTTACTTAGCTAATTGCCAATTAAAAACTGCTTCTGCCCAAGAACAGGTTGTATTTGAAAGGAAAAAAATGAGAAATTGGATTACACGCTGTTCAAGACAGAATACCTGTTCTACGTACGATAACTACCTACTCTCGCATCTTTCGAAAATAATTCTTCGAGTTATCATTACCATATATATTTCAACTTCGGACACACTTCCAAATGATCGTCTAATCCTTTCTCAATAGTCGTTCGCAAAAACGTTCGGCCTCGGAAGCCAATAACCGGACCACTCCTGTTTCATCAGAAGACGGTCATCCTAACAAACATTTATTTGACATTCAAACGAAATAAACACACGGACGTAAATGAAACATTCCCGATTCGGTCCATTTCCTTTGACGTAGAATAGACGTTGAGGGATTTAAGGAAAAAAGCGGCAAGAAAGGAAATGTAAGAGCTTAAGGGTACGCGTTTGCTCCTTGAGCGGACGTGTCAAGCATTCCGACCGGAGCTTCTAATTGCTGAACTGCGATTAAAAGGCGTGTTACGTTCGCTTCGAGGGGGGTCTTAACTCGATTAAAAGAAGCTTAAGCGCTAAATATCGGGTCGGGTGAGGAAGAAAGGAGGCGGAATCGAATGAAACGTGGAATGAAGAACGCGAAAAGTGCATAGATCCTTGGGAGTAGAAAGCAAAGGCGAACGAGCGAGGCTACCGTGGAAAGAGGCTTATAGGAAAATTCCTTGCCAGAGAGGGGCGTGGATTTTCATGGAATTTATTCGATCTGCTCTTTGATGCCGCTAGTCTCGACAGTAGATGCATCTATATACGGGATGCAGCAGCAACTGAAGATCGGAAAAGTAACCGGAAGTGGCGCGAAGTGCAAGTCAGAAAATTCATGAGAAGGGGATCAACCGGAAAAGGAATCACTACCCTTAAGCTCCTTCTCTCTCTCTCTCTCTCTCTTTCTCTCTCGCTTTTCATCCCTCTACTCTCCTCGCGACTTTCTGTGCTCCCCTTTCTTCGTTGCTTCTGCTCTCATTAAACTTTCCGCGAAAATGCCAGCGCTTCAATGAGGAAACAAATTTTCAACTTTAAACGGTATCGCTGGCCTGAAAACGCGAATTAAGGCGACAAATACTGCCCTCGTGATATTTTTTGCCGATAATTCTTCGTGTCTCGAGCTATATTCAGCTTCTATCGGATAAAAATTGTTTCCGCGGTGGCGGGAAATTTAAATCGAATTACGCATATATATAGTTTCCAGAAGCTTCTGACGTTTTCAGAATTATTCATACCATAATTCCCTTTAATTATACTTCTTTATGACGATCATAGATCTGTTAGATCGTACAATATTATACAATTTTGTATTTTAAATATAATTTACGAGGAAATGTTTATTAAAATTTTCAGAATCATATATTGTTTCGAATAATTAATTTCTTTGAAGGAAAAAGGAGGCATAAATCCAGTTATTTGTATCTCTCGTGTCTTATTTCTAATTTTCATTCGCTGCTGAGTAACTTAACCAAATTTTAATAAATTTATAACGCGCAATATCGTGAAACAGCTCGCTCCATAAGTTCACATTCGGGAGTGAATTAAAATAGGGAGGAAATATCATAGCACACAAATCTCACCCTGAAACTGTATTACCCCCTTGTACGCCTGCATACTAATAAATGCGCACGTAATGAAGAAGACTTATCGCTAACTGTCTAACAACGTCTCATCCAATTCTCTTCTTTCTGCCCTGTGAGAAAGTTGCAAGTAGGAGAGCGCACATAACTTTTAACTCGACCCTCATCTTCCACCGTAACTTCCAGTTAGATATGTATACGAGTTCTTGTTTGCACGAGGTGCTGACTTTCAACCGTTCTTCGAATAAAATCGCGCCGCGACTCTCTCGTTAATTATAAATTATTTACCAAGTTACGAGTTTGTCACTTTATTTCAAAATCCACGAGCTCGTCGCGATATTCATAACTAGTAAATCAATTTCTAAGTTTCTTTTGTCGTTATACAAGATACAAAAATATCCTTTGCTAAATCGTTAAAAATATTTTCTCACTTGAAATAAAATAAAATTCTCATTTTTCTTTATTTTTTCCCTAATATTATTAAATATAGATACTATTAAGTTAATTGTAACTATAACGAATTAAATTATAATACAATATTTCGAACTGAAATTTTATTCATTTCTTGAAATAAAGGGAAAATATTTCTTCTAATACTAAGTCAATAGAATTTTCTGTGCAGTCTTGTATGTTCCAGTGTAATTTCATTTTAATTAATAATTTAAAAATTAAACGCGGTTTTAATAAAACAGACTCATATATTAATGCATTAGTAAAAGGTAATATTTAATCGAGTTAATAACGACATCGGTTATTTTTGCACGTTACACGAGCAGCGAGTTATTCGAAGAAGCTGGTTACCTATTTTCTCTTCTGTACATATATTATATCGATGTTTCGATGTGCTCGAGAAAGTGGAGTGGATTTCCGAGATTTTCTTCAAGATTCATGGGTCTTCCACAGGTACCCACGGCAGCGGACAGGAAGAAGCTGTACTTCAACGTGGTCCAGGAACCGAGCGGAAAGCAGATAGTGACTGTTGAAGGTGGTGGCGTGAACGCGACAGTAGTCACCGCGAATATTGCTGCTACTAATGGACTTATCCACATCATCGATAGAGTCCTTGGTGTTCCTTACACCACTGTGCTGGAGAAGCTTAAAACCGACCCCATGCTCAAGTGAGTTGATATTTCCCTGATTATGTTTTAATAATTTAGTTCTGATTGAATCGATTATTTTTTGGAAAGATGAATTATCATTTGAGAAATACCAATTTAATAATTATTTTTAATATTAAATAATATAAT